CATCCTAGATTTAATCATTACTAATAATGCAGAGTTAATTGAGGATACTGTTTATTGGGGAGACATTGGGCAATAGTGATCACAATGTGATTACTTTCAATATTGGATACAGGAAAGGGAAGCGGGCTGGTAGGGCAAGAACCCTTAATTTCAGAAGGGCTAACTTTGATAAACTGTGCCACCTTGTGGGGGACATCAAATGGGAAAATGTATTTCACAAACTGAACTCGGACCAAAAGTGGGAATGTTTGAAAAACACATTGCATATTGCCAAATGTATACCGGGTAATAAACGTAAAAGATCACAAACAAAACCTGTATGGCTGAATACAAATGTAAAGCATCACATAAAGGAAAAGCGAGTGGCATTTATAAAATATAAGATGGAGGCGACGGCATTGGCGTTCCATAACTACAAAGAATGTAATAAAAGATGCAAACTAGCAATACGGGCAGCTAAAATAGAGTGCGAAAAGCATATTGCCACAGATAGTAAAAAAAAATCCCCACATTTTTTACCAATATATAAACAGCAAAAAGGGGAGAAAGGAGCAGATAGGCCCAATAAAAGACGAGAACGGGAAGTTAGTCACAAATGACAAGGAGAGTGCCAAAGTGCTGAACGCTTTTTTCTGCTCAGTATACACTCGGGAGGGAAACGGGTTTGAATTTGTTCAGGATAATGGTATAGTTAATGACAATCAGCATGGGTTTAGGAAAGACCGTTCCTGTCAGACTAACGTACTGACTTTTTACGAGGGGGTAAGTAGAGATCTGGATGGAGGGAGGCTGGTGGATGTGGTATATCTGGATTTCTCAAAGGCTTTTGATAGGTACCACACAAACGCTTACTATACAAGCTGAGAGCTATGGGCATAGATGGAAGGGTGTGTACATGGATAGAGAACTGGCTAAAGGTACGGGTACAGAGAGTATTAATAAATGGTGCCCTTTCAGACTGGGCTAGTGTCATTAGCACTGGGATTAAAAATAGGCAAATGGGTTATACAATTATGGGTATGCCGCTAGGGAAGTCGGGAATGGAGAGAAAGATTTGGGGGTCATTGTATACCTTTGTAGACCATAAACTGAATAATAGATTACAGTGCCAGGTTGCTGTAAGCAAAGCTAGTAGAATCCTGTCCTGCATCAAGAAGAGAATGTTTTGCAGGGACAGGTCTATAATTTTGCCACTCTACACATCAATGGTTCAGCCTCACCTGGAGTATCTGGTGCAGTTTTGGGCACCAGTACACAGAAAGGATGTCCTTGAGCTGGAGAAAGTCCAGCGGAGGGCGACCAAACTCATCAAGGGGATGGAGGACCAGAACTATGAGACAAGGCTACTAAATGTAAATGTGTTTACGTTGGAAGTAAGGAGATTAAGGGGGGACATGATTTTCATGCACAAAATGTTCAATAGTCATAGCAACATTAGCAACAAACTCTTTAAGATTAATTCCGTAACAAAGACTAGAGGCCACCACCTAAAACTGGTAGAAAAAAAAATAAAACACAAGGGGCGAAGGGGGTTCTTCTCAGTTCGCGCGGTTAGGGTCTGAAACTCACTGCCTCAAGCAGTGATTTCCGCAAATAGTCTGGAATCATTCAAGAAGCTTTTGGACGATTTCCCGAGAGACCGTAATGTACAAGGGTACAGGTACTCTTAAGAATGAGAACACTCAGGGACCTATACACACACACACACACACACACACAACAGGTTGGACTTGATGGACTTATGTCTTTATTCAACCTCAAATACTATGTAACTATGTAATTGTTGCTTTGAAATTTAATGGATGTATAGCAAATTGATGTTTCAGGTGGATTTACGGTCATAAAATATTAGATTTTTTTTTCTAGTGGAGGAACTGGAGATGAGCGCCTTTTACATTTGTTTATAATATATTTATATAGCAAATAAAGATGTATTGACCCAGGATATACCTCTAGGCTCTACCTCTAGATTGACAGCTGGCTCTGCCTCTCACACAGCTGGGCGGATCCAGACATAATTGTCGGGATCTGCTTCACCTGCGGCATCTCAGTATACCGCGAGTTGTAGCTTGTGGTATGCTGAGCTTAGAGTGATGGGAGGACGCTAGTTTGTGTCCTCCCGTTACCCTAAGGAGAACTATGGGGAAAAGCCCTAACCCCATAGTTCTCCTTTAAATCAGGGTCTCTTTAAGAAACAGCTTTGCTAGTTTCCTATGATCATTGTCTTTCCTGCGACCACTAAATGACAACCAATGTAATTTGCAGTGTCTGCAACTATTAGCAGCAGCCAGATCATACCCATGAAGGCATCCACAGTTATGTGTTGACTTCTGTGCTTGTTGTTTTTAAGGTGACCCTACCTTAAAAGTAAACATTCAAAATGAGTACACTTGCGTAGAAAGAATGTAAGTACTTACCTTTCCCACTGCCTGTGCTGTCAGAATGCCATTTAATTCATGAGAATTTCACCACTCAAGTCTACTTGAGACACTTCCTGGAGTGTATCTGCTTGCAGAACAGAACTCACTGGTTCTTTTCACCAACCTCATCTTTGCTTTTGTTAGTGGCATGGTCACTAAAGTTATCAGGAAACATTAAGTATATTAGTTAGTCCTTGTATTATGAATTGTATCCAGATTTAACTCTATTTGATGTGGCTGAAGCATCCTAAAGGCCACACCTATTCAAGAAGATTATTATAAGAAATATACCATGGGAAAAAAGTTATTCCTGTAACTTTCCCGTGTGCAGTGAAATCCAGACATGCTCAGATCCTAGCAATGGCTGGGTAAACCTGCTTGGGCTGCTGGCACAGTACAGGGAGGCATGCAGGGTCTAAAAGACCCTTTAATATCTCTATAGAGCGTACCCATTACAGTCCCCTATGTGATGGCAATAAAGTTATGTCACAAAAAGAAACATTTAAACTGTAACACACACACACACAACTAAGGGATTCTACAACAATTTTAGATATTCCTGTGCATACTAGAGTGAAAGGAATAATTCTAAGGCTATCATTTATGGTCAACTGATAGACTATGCATTAAAAACCTTACAGCATATCTAACATTATGGGCATCTTTGGATTTTTTTTTGCAGAGGTACAAACGGGCTTGACATATATTTGTGTAGATCATATATTCTGTGCACTAAAATAATTTGAATGTATTTTTTTTAAACTAAAACTATGGAGTTAATAAACACTTGTGCAAATAATGTGTGACAAAACAAAAGAAAATACTATGCAATGAAGTACCTATTAGAGATGTGGTTGTGTATACTGACGTGATCATGTATATTATTTTGTAAAATTTGATGAGGTCTGTTTCCTATTTTTTTTGTTTTTTTTTTAGCTGCAACATGATGACACTGATGAAATATGCACTGCCAGAATAAAAAAAATATACAAAATACATATAAATTAACAATATAATGTTATTAATCATTAATACATAAGCACCCATATTTTTTTATTTTGGGAATGGTGTGTGTATGTACAGTATCTCACAGAAGTGAGTACACCCCTCACATTTTTGTAAATATTTTATTATATAATTTCATGTGACAGCACATGTGATAACAAGAAATGACACTTTGCTACAATGTAAAGTAGTGAGTGTACAGCTTGTATATCAGTGTACATTTTCTGTCCCGTCAAAATAACTCAACACTCAGCCATTAATGAATAATGTGAAACCTCGCGCCACTACTCTAATCAAGTTAAGCAGCAGCTGAAATCTGTGTGGTCAGATATAACGTATGAAATTAATGGTTAATGGCTTTTACCATTAACAAATGAATGGCTTTTACCATTAATTTCACTCAGCCATTAATGTCTAAACCGCTGGCAACAAAAGTGAGTACACCCCTAAGTGAAAATGTCCAAATTGGGCCCAAAGTGTCAATATTTTGGGTGGCCACCAATATTTTCCAGCACTGCCTTAACCCTCTTGGGCATGGAGTTCACCAGAGATCAACAGTTTGCCACTGGAGTCCTCTTCCACTCCTCCATGAAGACATCATGCTCAATAGGGTTTAGGTCTGGAGACATGCTTGGCCAGTCCATCACCTTTTACCCTCAGCTTCTTTTGCAAGGCAGTGGTCGTCTTGGAGGTGTGTTTGGGGTCGTTTATCATGTTGGAATACTGCCCTGTGGCCCAGTCTCCGAAGGGAGGGGGATCATGCTCTGCTTCAGTATGTCACAGTACATGTTGGCATTCGTGGTTCCCTCAATGAACTGTAGCTCCCCAGTGCCGGCAGCACTCATGCAGCCCCAGACCATGACACTCCCACCATCATGCTTGAATGTAGGCAAGACTTGTCTTTGTACTCCTCACCTGGTTGCCGCCACACACGCTTGACACCATCTGAACCAAATAAGTTTATCTTGGTCTCATCCGACCACAGGACATGGTTCCAGTAATCCATGTCCTTAGTCTGCTTGTCTTCAGCAAACTGTTTGCGGGCTTTCTCGTGCATCATCTTTAGAAGAGGCTTCCTTTTGGGACGACAGCCATGCAGACCAATTTGATGCAGTGTGCGGCGTATGGTCTGAGCACAGACAGGCTGACCCCCCACCCCTTCAACCTCTGCAGCAATGCTGGCAGAACACCTACGTCTATATCCCAAAGACAACCTCTGGCTATGACACTGAGCACGTGCACTCAACTTCTTTGGTCGACCATGGCGAGGACTGTTCTGAGTGGAACCTGTCCTGTTAAACCGCTTTATGGTCTTGACCACCATGCTGCAGCTCAGTTTCAGGGTCTTGGCAATATTCTTTATAATCTAGACCACCTTTTATGTAGAGCAACCATTCTTTTTTTCAGATCCTCAGAGTTCTTTGCCATGAGGTGCCATGTTGAACTTCCAGTGACCAGTATGAGAGAGTGAGAGCGATAACACCAAATATAACACATCTACACCCCATTCAAACCTGAGACCTTGTAACACTAACGAGTCACATGACACCAGGGAGGGAAAATGGCTAATTGGGCCCAATTTGGACATTTTCACTTAGGGGTGTACTCACTTTTGTTGCCTGCGGTTTAGACATTGATGGCTGTGTTGAGTTATTTTGAGGGGACAGCAAATGTACACTGATATACAATCTGTACACTCTGGACAAGTAAGAGTATACAAAGTGTACCAATATTTTACCAAAGAATGATCATCGTGAAGCTCAAAACCCTGAAAAAATAAAATCGACATTGGAAGCCCCTGTATTTCTGCCTGATTTCTGCTTCCTTATAAAGTAGTTCCTGAGGTTATATTTAAGCTGATATTGCATATTATATACAGCATTTTCCTAATTTATACTGACAGTCCCTTCAGCTGCAAGCAACAAGGTTTGGTAAAACTGACAAAATCCTGTAAGAAAAAACAATAATTTTTTTGTTCCTGGTTAACTCCCAACATCTGTGCAAAGCTACACTGCTTCTGCTCTCATCCAACTTCTTACATATTATTTCCATTAAGCTCCCAGGTTACAGAGTTTTTTGGCTGCCTGTGTTGTAAATGTGAATTAAGATTTTCAGATAATGTATGAGCAGTCCAAAAGCTCCCCCACCCAGTCAACGCTTTTTCCAACAGTCTTGAACTCTAAGCCAGGGTCAATTAGTCAGAACCAGGGGGATAGAAGATATTAGCAATAATATCTATAGAGAGCAAATGTGCAGTTAAGTAAAGAAGGGGGATTAACTCATCTCTAAAACCTGTCGGCTGTTTTCCGTTACTGTTGTGATACTCATGGATGGATATAAAATACGTTTCTGGACATTTCTTGATAAATTGATAAATGTGTTTGGCCCACTTTCTGGTTCTTTTTGGCATTATGGAAAAAGTGTTAATTTGTGAACTACAAATTGCTGGATCCAGCGCCTTTCTTCAACTTCAATCCGAATCAGGTGCGAACAAAAAAGCAACTGAAAGATCCCTGCAAGGGGAGAGGTAGCACCTCTTGGGCAGATGACCTCCCCTCAGTTCCAGGACTTAGTAATGTAGGGGTCAAAGAATGCAATTGCACCATGTAGCAGGGGACACTAGTATCCAACACTCAAATGCTATATAGTTAGGAGACTGGTGGAGGCTACAGTGTTGGAATGGGGAAATGGGGTGAGGTAGGAGGCACGGGCTGCCACAGAGATGAGTGGAAGAGTTCTTCTCTTGCGGGGTCCTTTTGGTAGAACCTGACTGGATCATTTTATTGAAATATATAATTAAAGAGGAACTTCAGGAAAAAACAAAATTAATCCACACAGTGGGAGAGAGGTTAGGGTTAACTGCCACTGGACCCAGGATCAGGGGAGCATAACTTCTTCATCCTGGTCCCTATACTAAAATGAGCGGATAACCCTTGAAGTGCAGGGGTAGCCCCACTGCAAGGGTTAGTTTTGGTACTAACTGGAGTTCCTCTTTAAATCAAACCTGTGCCTTTTCCATGCAGGGCAAAACAAAATGTTTGCTTCATGTTCCTCATTTGCAGCAATACATAGCAGCATTTCCTTCGCTCCTCCACTGCTTTATTCAGCTGCTATAAGTAAAGATAATACCTGCTACTTCTGAGTATGGAGGCGCATGTCACTTTTTGCTGTGATAGTGATGGCCAAATAACCAACCGCCAATGCTGTCACAGTTTACAAAGCACTGTGTAAGATACTGCCAGACTACCTGTTATCTTACACCAGCAGATCTTGAATCTAGTCGACAGTCTCTTATCCCCAGTTGGAAAATAGCTACTAGTGGTTGATTTCCGAGCAGTTTGTGTATAGTTAACATAGATTTAACTGTGCAATATAGTGGTCTGGATGAGGAGGGAAATCCTTCTGCAAACATTGCAGCACAAAGGCTCACATTCCTAGCTTAGCAACATAATCATCCATAATTAATTTGTGCTCAGGGCTGATCTTGGTGGTTACAATAATGATGGCTATGTATGAGGATGGTGATTCTGGATTAGTAAATGTCAATCATTTGATGTTAGTCATTTCAGCTACATCAATGGTGAAAATTTACTGCTTAAAGAACTCCACTAAGATTTAATTTTCGCATCTAAACTGACCTTAAAACCTAGCCTCAATGCATTTTCAGAAAAACAATAGTGGGAGAAATACCTTTTTATGGGACCCAATAAATCTGCCTATTATTCCCATACTGTCATGGCTGTCCAGGACAGGGGCAGGCACAGGAGCAGCAGTACTCCAGTGGTTTTCTAAAACATTTAAAGTGGTTTGGTCGCTGTTGTGCCTGTCTGCTTTATAAGATTAGCTGACGTGTTGGCATTATGGAAAAAGTGTTAATTTGTGAACTACAAATTGCTGGATCCAGCGCCTTTCTTCAACTTCAATCCGAATCAGGTGCGAACAAAAAAGCAACTGAAAGATCCCTGCAAGGGGAGAGGTAGCACCTCTTGGGCAGATGACCTCCCCTCAGTTCCAGGACTTAGTAATGTAGGGGTCAAAGAATGCAATTGCACCATGTAGCAGGGGACACTAGTATCCAACACTCAAATGCTATATAGTTAGGAGACTGGTGGAGGCTACAGTGTTGGAATGGGGAAATGGGGTGAGGTAGGAGGCACGGGCTGCCACAGAGATGAGTGGAAGAGTTCTTCTCTTGCGGGGTCCTTTTGGTAGAACCTGACTGGATCATTTTATTGAAATATATAATTAAAGAGGAACTTCAGGAAAAAACAAAATTAATCCACACAGTGGGAGAGAGGTTAGGGTTAACTGCCACTGGACCCAGGATCAGGGGAGCATAACTTCTTCATCCTGGTCCCTATACTAAAATGAGCGGATAACCCTTGAAGTGCAGGGGTAGCCCCACTGCAAGGGTTAGTTTTGGTACTAACTGGAGTTCCTCTTTAAATCAAACCTGTGCCTTTTCCATGCAGGGCAAAACAAAATGTTTGCTTCATGTTCCTCATTTGCAGCAATACATAGCAGCATTTCCTTCGCTCCTCCACTGCTTTATTCAGCTGCTATAAGTAAAGATAATACCTGCTACTTCTGAGTATGGAGGCGCATGTCACTTTTTGCTGTGATAGTGATGGCCAAATAACCAACCGCCAATGCTGTCACAGTTTACAAAGCACTGTGTAAGATACTGCCAGACTACCTGTTATCTTACACCAGCAGATCTTGAATCTAGTCGACAGTCTCTTATCCCCAGTTGGAAAATAGCTACTAGTGGTTGATTTCCGAGCAGTTTGTGTATAGTTAACATAGATTTAACTGTGCAATATAGTGGTCTGGATGAGGAGGGAAATCCTTCTGCAAACATTGCAGCACAAAGGCTCACATTCCTAGCTTAGCAACATAATCATCCATAATTAATTTGTGCTCAGGGCTGATCTTGGTGGTTACAATAATGATGGCTATGTATGAGGATGGTGATTCTGGATTAGTAAATGTCAATCATTTGATGTTAGTCATTTCAGCTACATCAATGGTGAAAATTTACTGCTTAAAGAACTCCACTAAGATTTAATTTTCGCATCTAAACTGACCTTAAAACCTAGCCTCAATGCATTTTCAGAAAAACAATAGTGGGAGAAATACCTTTTTATGGGACCCAATAAATCTGCCTATTATTCCCATACTGTCATGGCTGTCCAGGACAGGGGCAGGCACAGGAGCAGCAGTACTCCAGTGGTTTTCTAAAACATTTAAAGTGGTTTGGTCGCTGTTGTGCCTGTCTGCTTTATAAGATTAGCTGACGTGTATATAAGCAGATCCCCTATTCTCCCATCTAAAGCAAATCTGTAGTCTCCTTAAAGTGCCCATTTCCTTTGCCCATGTAGGGAAAAGTAAAAGGGTCACAGACTCTCCTCCCTCCCCAGCAGCATATACTTACCTGTCCTATATTCCTTTGCCACTCCATTGAGCTGACAGGACCAAAGTGAAAAACTTGAAACAGAATACGGAAGAATATGTGATTCACCCCCACTCTTCCATATGACAGCACTACACAGGAGTTTATTTTCTGTGGGTTTGGTTGCTAAATGGAGTGCCACAGTAGCGAGAAAAAGTAACTATAGGTTGCTGGAAAAGGGGGTTGTGTGGGGGCATTTTTGTTATTTGCATGGGCAAATGTACAGCAAGAAATGGATACCTAGAGGTGCCTGTATGTACCACTGAATACCCTCATTCCTACCAGAGCTCCCAAGAATCCTCCAAACCTGGGACACCCTGTAATTAAGATATTGATCAGCTCCTGTCTGCAGAAACACTGGCCTCAGTTCCTCATTATTGGCCCAAATAAAAGGAAGAACTTAAATAGAGACACCAGAGAATTTGAAAGGTGTCTGAATCTAGTAGGATAGGACTACACAATTCTTTTTTCAGACACGACATATAAAACAGACATAGGATGCAAAGTTTGCTATGTGTGAGGGGAAGGGGGGGATTCTCAATATGAAAATACCAACTGCCAGCTTTTTCATCTCTAAAAACTACTTCAGTGGCAAGATAAGATAGTCAGTACTGACATCTAGGTGCTGGGATGTCCTTGAGATTGCCATTGATTTACTTAGGCATGCTGCCAGTGCCTAACATTTGTATTTTGCCCTTTATATGTATGCTATTACTAGTTTTTGAGGTAGAGATTTTTCATAGCTGCAGGTGCTGTAACCATGCCTTAGATAAGCATTTTGTGGTTGGTAATTCTCCTTCTTTAGTAAAACTTGTTCTTTTGTCTCTGGCATGCTCTGTCACTATATATTTGGAAGCTGTTTCTATTTCACTCTAATCTGACACTAGTCCTTTATATATTTAACTTATGAGCTCATTACTGGCAAGATTGGTTGGTTCACAGAAAAAAAAAGCTATTATTAGAGTGGTGGCTAATGCTAGAAAGGGGGAGCATTTGTCAAAGAGACATTGTGTGTGCATTTATTGTATTGCAGTAGATGTAAAGTGTTTTTCCATGGCACCAAACAATCCATTGTAAGGTCTTTAAGTATGATTGTGAACAAAATGGGATGCATTCATATATAACCAAAGACATTTTTACTCATACGAAATAGTGTAACACCAGGCAAACTAGTTTAATACAGATTAAAGCAGAACCTCATTCAAAAATAAGAAAAATAGCATATTAAAAGACAAAAATGAACATTTTACTGCAATACTCACCATCTGTCCTCAAAAGTACTTTTTTTTTTCCCCTGCCAATAAATGTCCTGTCTTTCAAGTTAAATGTTGGACAGTCATTCAATCCACTTGCCCTGAGTCTACTCATAGACAACATGTTGTTGAGTAAGCAAACATGGTGAAACGCATTAAAGATTAAGGTTCATGAGGAGAGGAGCAAACAGTATTTATCTGCTTTATAGATAAATATTTTATCTTTGAAGATCTGTGGAGTGCAGCACATTTGGATTTATAAGCTTATATCTGTCACTCTGCTTTCTACTCCTTATCAGCATGCTTCATGTCAGCACATAAAGCAATTGCTTACGTGTGCTATGTCTAACTCCCTTAGGCCTGGTTCACACCTGGGCATTTTACAGCGCGTTCCTATGCTCTGTAAAACGCTCAAGATGTGAAAACCAATGATTGCCTATGGGCATGGTTCCCACCTGGGCGTTTTACAGCGCGTAGGAACGCGCTGAAAAACGCCCTACGCCTAAAGAAGTACAGGAGCTTCTTTGGGGCGTATTTGCCGCGCGTATCCATTGGGATAAAGCCAGGTAGCCTTCGGAAATGTGCGTTTACCCTGAATCGCGGTAAAAACGTGCGGCACGAAACGCGCGACAAACGTGCATATTCAATACGCCTAGGTGTGAACCCAGCCTTACTCTAAGCTCTGCTGTGTAGGGGATGTAACAGGCTGATACCAGATCAGTTTCAGGCATTTACACTATTTGCATTTAAAAAAATACATATAATGTATTGTTGAATACATCACACAATGTCTCTAACAGATGCTTCCACTTCCTGCAGAACTGCATTCATGTGTGTTATATATCTGTCTAGAGGTCTGCTTTAAATACATATTTTACTGTTTTACTTGCAAATATTTTGGTAATTTTAGCCAACCATTCCTTTGATACACACCCATCTGCTAGTTAGAATGATCACTGCTACTTCAAGTAAGCCTTGGATAAGCCTTACTGATTCTTGGGTCAGCTCCCTGTTTATTTACCAAAAGTGATTATGCGGATTTACTATCCATTGAGAAGTCAAAGCAATAACATATAAAGACACAAAACTGAAGCAGAAAGCTGAATTGTGCCAGGAAATAATTATCACCTGTTAATGGAATGATGTGGCAACCCTGTTTGTACATTGCACAGCTAAACACATATGTATTGCACATGTTCAGTGGCTGACTAAAGTGGTAATATAGATTTGTTTGATCTTGGGGATTTCCATTTTCCATGGCTGTTGTTCCTACCTATCAGGTCCTGGTCTACCAGTACCAAAAAAAGCAGTAATCAAACGGGCAACTTCTGCATATGGGTATCTTCTACTCTTCAGACAACCCAACGATAATGACCTAGGCGGGTTATCATTTTATTCGTTTGTAAAGAACATTTATATATTTGTGTCAGTTGTAGGTCAGATTACTAAAACTGCTTGACATCTAAGAAAACATGAGGATCTGCATCAGTGCCAAATCCTTTACCCATGCCAATTTTATCAACACAACTCAGTACTTGTGTACACATACATTGATACATAATGTGCAATAACATTTACTCATGTATGGGATAAAGCAGCCTATCCCAGCCAATCATATTTATTTGGGCAGCCTAAGCATTAGCACTTTCTGTTATATCATGTACTGATATTGTTAGAGCAAGCATCTGCTATAAATCCACTGGAGATGATCGCTATTAATTTCTTGAGTGATTGAAAAAAATTTTTTGTATTTTTGCTTTGCCTGAGAGATCCAGATGCAGGTGCTAAAGCTCTTACTGTCATGTACAATTGTTCATTTCTTAGCAACACTAATTCTGCAGTGCATAACTCCCTGACAGAGGAAATTTGTATTCTCTGCAGGAACCGTTTCTTTACAAGATAGGCAAGCAGTACATAGATTAAACTCATTCAGGTACTGGCTGAGTTCTTGCATTCTTAGCGTCTCTCCTTTAGCAGCCAAGCATAATGTTATTGTTTTTACAATCTTTGTTGAATGAGTCGTAAAAGACAAAAGCGACAGTAGGTGAGATTTTTATTTTATTTATGAGATTTTTGCTAAAACGTCAAGTATGAGACTTAATGAGTAGCTCGCTGCAAGGGCAGATATAAACACTTGCTGGGACAATGGAGTTTGGCATACATTTATGAGTTTGTTTAGTGTGTTTGAAAATTGTGTTAAGTGTTAACCCTGCTTGAAGGTGCCTCTGTATGAAATGCTATCCTGTGATAGATTTCATATATGTTGTAGACTATCTATATTGTTGCTTAGCATATGTGTATTAATTGCAGTGCTGAGGTTTACTTTTTTTTTTAAAGAAAGAGTAGACTGGTTAGAAAGTGCCTATGCTGGCTTTATTAGTGAAAGCACTCAAATATTTTGAAGTCAATTTACACCCAATCACTAAAATCTCATATACAGTAAGCTTTAACATATTAATGTAATTTCATATTTTTTTTAACACCTGCAATTTTCACTAAAAGCATACCTGTTGACCCCATCATAAAATTACTTATTCTATTTCCTGTTTTGGAGTGACAAATATCACCTAGTTGTGCTCCTGTGTTGTCACACTACAATCAGCCAACACATATTGTACAGGTGTGATGCACTGCTGTCACCATCAGGAAGCTGATCCTGAGCAACAATGAACAGCTGATGATGGAGCAATTATATGTAGACATGAAATGGCTGAAAGAGCCTGCAGAGGATTAGCAATAAATGATAGACAAAGGTGAAAACCCTATTTTATAGAGAAATAAAACATAACAGTTGTTCCATGCACTGCTTTAGCCAACTGAATGCCATTCAGTTAGGGCTTAGTTCAACACAACCCTGTCATGAATATGCCTACGGGTGAAACATGTGAGAGGTTGTAGTTGGTTGGGGCTGTGCAGTGCCGGCATTTGTTGCTTTATACACTTTTATTCACTGTTATACTGGTTTTACTGTGAACTTCAATAAAATCTGAAGTATTGGAATTCTCTGGATAGCGCGGTCTGTTCGTATGCTACTACAACCCTGTCATATACACAGATATTTTCAACCAAGCACCTGAAGTAAAGGACAGATAATACCACTCCAGTTACTGGAAATGGTCCCCCAAAGACCTCTGGAGAAACCAGCCCCTCAGGGAGTGACAATGTTCCTTTGGTTCCCTGCAGATTTCACTGGTTACTCCTGCTGACCTCACATCACTGCAGAAGAAAGTGGTGATCCCTTGTAGCTCTCAATGGTTACTTCTGCTCATGTCACTGCAAAAAGTAGGGATTCCCTGTGGCTCTCACTTGTTACTCCTGCTCACGTCACTGTAGTTCTCAATGTTTACTCCTGCTCATGTCAAAAAAGTAGGGATCCCCTGTATCTATCACTGGTTCCTACTGCAGACATCTCATAACTGGGAGAAAGCAGTGATGCAGGATGAGCAGGGGTAACCTGTGAGGACCAAGTAGATTGACAATCCTAAAAGTGTCTTTTTTTTTCTAGTGGACTTTGCGGGAGTTTTTATAGTGATGTAACCAGTGTTCAGCAGTGTGGGGTACAGTAGGTATTGGGTCTCTTCCGGTATGGTCTTGGATAAAATATTTGCTTATAAGAAAGGCAGTCACTTTAAGTTAAAGTAGATTGCTGCTCTAAAACAGATGCTCAGATTAGGCAATATATATGAGCTTTTTTCATGTTAATGATCCCGTCGCCGACTTGGCTATTGCAAACTGAATAAAAGTCATATACAGAAGTTAGCTTCAGTAAAAGTAGCTTGACAAAACAATGCACAGATGGACAGCTAAAATTGTATGCAAATCTTCCCTGAAAAAAATTGAGTTTGGCTGACCAATCTTCCACCTCCAAAGCATTGTTACTGGTTATTTTAATGTGGTGGATGGCATCATTGACCACTGTAATTTTTATTAAACTTCAGCTGTGTATATTTCTGGATCTAGTAATTATTTTGACATGTGGTTTTCTCTATGTGTATTGTCAAGACGCAGGCCAAAATCACTGCCAATGACCATAACAGCACGGTATAGACCGTGGGATGCAGCACTTATGGGGGAAGAAAGGTATTTCTGTCTAGTAAGGTAGCCCACTGCTTCCTAATGTCTAATCTATGTTTAATAAAGGTACAGCTACCTTTTTAAAAAATCCACCAAATGACCTTTGTGTGGGTAGATATATTACAAATAATAGCTTCTAAAATGTTTTCAGCTGTGAAAACGCAACATATTTTTTATACTGAAAGGAGTGTTAAGAGGTTCATGTAATGTAAGACTTTGTATTGTCAAAGTACATAAGTGTATTAACAAATACCAATTGATAAATTATTGTGGGGCAGCATGTGGGCATACCAGTTAACACTATGATGTAGTAGTACCCAGCTCACACTGAGGATACCATGTGAACTGAGTTTTTATGTTCTCCCCATGTTTGTTTTGGTCTCCCCAGTGCTTTGTTCTTCATATCTTTCCTACAATCAAAAACACCCTGGTACATGAATATGCTTCCACCTTAAATTTGTGCCTGCATGATTGTTGTGGGAGCCTTAGACTCTAAGCTCTTTTGGGGCAAAGATTGATGTGAATGGTCTATAAATGCCAAAAAAGTCCTGCTGAATATGTTGGTGCTATATAAATAGCTGTAAAAAAGTAAAGCTGAGACAGAAGAGGTTTTTTAGAATTCAGCACTTCCTGCAGTGTTGGGAAGATCTGACGGGTAATAATTAGCAGTCAGCTGGTAAAACTCTGGTGATTGTTAACTTGTAAACTTGGGAAAGCTTTTGTAAACTATGGAAATTAACTATAAATAATTGTATGTGTTTGATTTCTTTTGCTGGTTAGAGTTGCCAAAATCATCCATGTTGCCCTTTTATTGAATTGGGGATCATTACATTCTGACTTTTAACCTCAATTATATTGTAATAATTTTGCTGGTTACCAGGTGGGGTGGCAGTTGAAAAATTTGGTGAATGCACTACGAGAGGACCCGAGTGGTGTTATCTTAACTTTGAAAAAGCGACCTCAGAGCATGCTTACCTCAGCACCAGCTTTACTGAAAAATATGAGATGGAAGCCCCTTGCTCTGCAGGTAATTTAAGCTTAATCATAAGTCATTCGCCATCATTTTAGCCATAGATAAAAATTATTATAATGCTTTAAAGGGAAACTATACTCTAAATATAAGGGGGGATTGAAAATGACCTGGCTATAGCATGCTGAAATGATGTCTTATTTGGTCAGATGATAAGATAGTCTTTAGTAAAATCTTCCATTTTACTTTAACCAAGAGATGGCATCATATGGTTCTCTTGGCTCTCGAAGTCCAGAGAAGTTCAAGGAACACTGGAGAACTGGAGTAGCCCTGTACTGTCCAAAGGCTGTTATTGCTCTCTGTAATGCCTTGTTACTTGTGGTACAGAAGCTTCAATAAGCCACTCTAATAAGTAAAGACCAGTAATCCAAAATGACCATTGTTATACAAAGATCTTTTTTGTTACCCCTGACCAACTGCCTATTAGACTTTGTAGGCAGCTTCTATAATATACCTTGCTAGTTGTCTCCAACTTTACCCTTATACAGGCAGGAAATATGGGATCTTCATAACCGCTGAGCTACACTGATTTTGCTAGCAGCAACTGTTTGAGCACCTCTGCCTAGCTCTATGATGAACAGGGGTTGCTATGGGCATATAAAATATTGTTGCAGGCCCACATATCAGCAGACTAAAAATGCAGCTGAATGTATTTAGTCCATTGATTTATGGACCTGTGCTGGCAGTAGGTGCTAAAGATCACAGACCGTCATGCACGTGTAAGTCTATCTAAAGCCAACTCCTTTTTTATTTGTTATGGTTAAAGAAGGGAAAGTTTAGAACCCCGTCAGCATACTTTTGCTTTATGTTTTGCAATGTGGAGATCAACCTTCTCTATTTTCCTAGTGACCATTGCCACCATGGCTGAATCTGTGGGAACATGTAACATTTTGAGTTGTCACTAGGTCAGGAATAGAGAGGAAATCTTCAACGTGAAGAATTCCCTTTTGGAAAGATCTCCTTTCACTACTTGTTGTGTCTTGAGACAGGAAGTTTGGAAAAATCGTACCAATGTGGTACTGACAGATAAATAAAAATGTGCCATTCATTCCCTATTCTATCCAAAACGTTTTTTTTTTAAACGTTTTTTTTTGGCTTTAGATACACTTTAAAGGGCTTCTAATACAGCCGCACAAGATTTAATATAGCCTTGAATAAAATTAACTGTTTTAGATTCATTTTTGTTTTACTGGTCCTTTTAAGCCATAATTGACTTTTTTAAAGATTTTGAAAAACCTACGATAAAGGTTAACCCAAAATGGAAGCCTGCTAGTTTAAGTGGCTGCATAAATCTTAACTATGCAAACATCAACCTATAAAATACCTATTTTGAATGAAATGTTCCCCTCTTAATTTAGTGTATGTAGGTATCCTTTAATGTACATCATTCAAACAGCTTACATTGAGTCCAAGGCTTGCCTTTGTTGTGAAGTAAATGTGCTATTGCTCATTGCTTGGTCTTTAGTGGATTCATTCTGCTTTAATCAGCTAGCAAATTGTAACTGCTTTCGAAAAAAGTCATGATTGCAGTCTGAATAGGAAATGAGCATGTCTGTTTGCCTGCATTAGAAAAAAAAACCATTGCTGTACAATTGAAGGCCAGAAAATGGGATCCAGTCTGACGAAACATGTCATTTTCTTTTAGATGGGGTCCTGACACAGGATCGTACAGCACTGCTGTAGAGCAGTCAGTTATTAAAGATATAGTGCCTGTTTGGGTAATTTATGGCATGCCCGGCCAATAGTTAGATCATTGCTGTTTTAAAGACCCTCATTAATAACCGCTGCCATTCCTTAATAAATCCACCTTCTCACTATTTGTTAGTTTATTGTAATGGCTAAATCTGCTGCTGCATATTTTATTGATCTTAAAATTGAATGATAATGAGTGTCATCTTATTTTTTTAGTGGTATGATGATGAAATGAAAACTTATTCCTGGACACGTATATCAGTAAGCAATTTTAAGTTACTAGATTTTTAGATATTTTTTTCTAAAAGGGGGTTGGGGCTACTTTTTAGAATCAGTCATTGACATTGCTCTAATCTGATAATTTAATTATAATAAATTACATAAAACCGGTATCGACTATCAGATCAGACATTTTAAAGGGGGATAACACATTATATGTGGATTGTTAGTTGAGACGCTGTAGATTGCTGTTTGTAGGACAAGTCTGTTATGTTTCTTTTTTCTATAATTACACCTGATTAGGACGTCTTAGTATTTTCACATTTTTGTTCATTTTAGCACTTTGCCACCTTTTGCTATTTATACACATTTTTGAGTGAATGCCTTCTGACACATGGCCATCGATTATATTCTCTCCCCCAGTGAAGTCTATGCGACTATGGGTCAGAATAAGGTCAACTGCTCCTGGCAATGATTTCTGGATGATCTCAGACTAATAATAAGATAAAAGGCAAACATTTCAAACTGATGTAAAAGCAAGTTTTGCATCGATTTATAGCCCAATGACGCAGAACTTCTTTGAAAGGTTAGGTCCAAGCACAAATAAGTCCACAACAAACTGTACAGTAGGGAGTGTCCACCAAATGGTCAGCTAATCAGTGGATTAGATTACTTTAAATCTAAACTTGGCCACTTTTTTGCTTTCAGAACTTTTGTTCAATTTTGTAATAGTTAGTGGGGTCTATTTCAAGTTCATTTTCAAATCAATTTTTTGGGGTTTTCATCTGAACCATCTTATTTTGTTTGTTTGGGAAAAAGCTTACATATTATAATGTGTATGTGCTAGGCACAAAATAATTTTTAAAAGTTTAATCTTTCTGAAATTTCCTTCAGGTAGCTGGTCTGGGTGACATTTTTAGTGGTTTCAAACTAAATTAGTTGACTCAGTGTTGGGAACATATATAATGCTGTGATGAACAATTTCAAACAAATGTTTGAGTAAAAATCTAACATTGTATGGTCAACTTAATTTTTTTTCTTCTGTAGTGACATATTAATGGCAGGGCTGGTTTTCTCATTAATTCATTTCTCACTGTCACTAGTCATTAGTCACCGTGCCTAAATATTCTTGTGTAGTTACTGGCCACACATCTTTTTCCCTTCATCAGGATAAATATATTCTTCTCTTTATAAATGTAGGACCAGAAAACATGTAAATGGTTGTGTGCCTACAGGCTTTGGCTGCCAAAGAGGCAGAATTCGCTGCACGCACCAGCAACGATTTTTTGTTTTTTCACTCATTGATGATTGATTCACTATCTCTGCTGAAAGTCTGTTCCAAGCCTCCTCTATTCTTTAAGTAAAATAATACTTTTTCAATGTTACTCTTGAACTTTCCTTTTGTCAGTTTGAAGTCATGCCTCCCTTTGCTACATCTCAGCTTCATATTAAAGATACTGCCCTCCTAAACCTTATTCATATCCCCTTGGTGTATTTGAAGGCTTCATGTCCCTTTTCTTGTAGGCTGTACACCATATTAAGTTCCTTCAGTCTTCACTGTGTTATCCCTCAGACCATGCACCATTGATGTTGCTTGTCTCTGGATTCTGTCGTATTAAGACCACTGTTAAAGCAATTAACCCCAGATGCAAAATAAACTAAATCTTAGGATTCTTCATAAAGTTCTTACTGCGAGAACATGTAGTGCAAAATGAATTTGTATGGTTATTTGCTAGAACATTGCAAATTGCATAGCGTTTATAAAAAAAAATAGAAATAAATCTTTATTGGCTGTGTTCTTTGCAAGATGAAGCTTACAGTTAGATGACTGATTTAATTCTGCAGCTTCTTATCCTTTTACAGTGCTGCTTCTTGCTCTTATCTTCATTTATACTTGTCATGCAGGCTGCCGGATGCGGTTTATGGCGACTTATATCAACAGAGAACAGTCATAGTGTGCTTAGTACTATAAACCCTGATTACAAATCAGATGGTCTCATATTTGTGATATTTTTCTTTCGTGAAAAGAGGAAAGCAGAAATAGGAAGGCAGCAATGTGATCTATCAGAATCTCCTTCTATTAGGTCTTTGCATTTGATCTGTGGATCAAATTTTCTTATCTCACCTGACCTGCTTTGTTAGGGAATATGTATTGCAGGCACTATCCATCCACCTGTGGGCATGTCTTTTAGCAGTCCGCTAATTTGTGTATTTTCGGCTTGCCAAGTGTACATGTTAGGCTAAATGGAGAGAAGAGGAAGAGCAGGCAGATGGCTCCCAGCAACTTCTTCTTTCTGCTTCTGTAAGCATAAGTTCATTACCCGATCTGCCTGAGAATATTAGGATAAGCTGTCCATGTGTCTTAGGCAATCCAAGAATAGATGATTCTGTAGCTCATCAGAGTTTCATCTCTAAGCCTGCATTCACACCTAGGCGTCAGTGGTTTTGCTCGTCTTTGTGTGTTTTTGCACATTTTTGAAAACTTCTTGGCTGGCAGATCAAAGACATTGTGGTCAATGGGGAAACACTCACAAGAAAATGCAAAAAAAATATGCAAAACACTTGTCTTACTAATTTTTCAGGCTTTTACATTGAAGTCTATGGGGAGCAAACGTGCTACAAAACGCCCCAAAGAAGCTCAAACTTTAATGAGCAACAGGCTTTTTGCAGCTTGCGACAAAGTGCCTAGGTGTGAATGGGGGCCTTTGAAATTAATGGAAATGTATGTGCTGAGTGTTGTGCGTATTTATGCACAACAAAATGCCTAGGTGTGAATGGGGCCTAAAGGTTTCTTCCCTTCTCCTTGTTTTGATGTATACTACAATTTTCCTAGACACTAGAAAGAAGCCTGTAATGGTGAATGCAGGAAACTACAAATCCCAACTGTTAAGGCTTCATATAGTATGCTAATTATATAGTACTTTAGTATACAATGAATGTATGCCTCCTGCCTAATATGGCTTCATATAAGCATACTAAGAACTTAGAGTATTTCCACTTTTGCAGTCAAATTTGAGAAAACATATGTGTTCCTATGTAAACAGCATACTGTACATAAAATATATTTTTTAGAATATATTTCTTTTTTAAATGTTTTGTTGTATCAGGCAACATGGCTGAATCCAGGTTTTTCTCAGCACCTTCAGTGATCTGTTCGAATAGAAAGACTTGGGTCTGAAATTTGAGGATTGTGTTTCTCTCATTACCTTCATTATACTTTGAATGCTGAAGCCAGGGTTGTAATCCTTTAACCCTTTGTTGGGACAGGCAGTGTCCAAATCTAGTTTACAAATCTTAATTAAATGAGCCAGCACAGTACAGCTAGGGTCAACAAACCCCTCACAACCTTTGCTAAAATTACAAAGAAGTGAGTACAAATGTTAACCCTTAAGAAGCTAAGTAGAAACCTAATCCAAGTAAACACAATTTAAACTGCAAGAAACATGTTTTAAATATATTTTTTAAGCTTGTCCTATGTGAATGGGAACATGTAACAAATATAAAATAGGTGCTCTCCCAATGTGGCTTTAAAAAAAGGAATACAGTTGAAAGTGTATTTATAACCAATACTTTTTTTTAGTTTGGATAAAATGGGGAAAGGTTGGAACCCCTGTCACCTTTTAATAGTTTAATCCTCCGATGCTAACAGCAAACAACTATCCTCTATTGAATAGACTGGCCACAGGGGTGCTGCTCCTCCTTATTTTGGAAAGCTCTCGTCCATACATCTATCCATGCAAAGAAAACAGAACAGAGCGTCCAAACCTGTGCAGTACTGATTTATTAATATAAAATTGATAAAAACAATATAGGCTACTCATAAGTGTAGCAACATACAAGCTTATCAACAGGCTTCGGGAATGAAAGGCTGTAAGTTCAACGATTCCATTCAAACTCTCACAGTCCCCGATCAGTGTAACACAGACTTCGGCAGAGACTGTGGCTGATGCGTTTTCTGGGGCACGCCCCCTTCATCACAACCTGAATGCTCAGAGCTAACTGGCCGAATAAGACAGAGGCAACCAATCAAACTACTTACAGCTAAGGCGACTATTAGATGGAGTGGGACCAATCAATGACCAGAAAACACGTAAATAGCGACCCACCCCCTCTCACTATAGCAGACTCTGATCAACTAAGGTTCGGTGCATACAGCCATTGATGGCAAATTTTCTGGCACTACATTATGCATCAAATATTTAAAAATTATATTAACATAATTAAATATAACGCACATCATGTCATGAATGGGTACGACTACGAAGTCCCTATGACGTCTACTATTAAATCTATATATAAAATCCATAAAAACTCCTATATGAGCCAATTTTTGGATTAAGAATATATTATAATTCAAATGCTAATCATGAATAATAAAGGCTGATAAATAGTAGCATATACTTAAAAGATTGCTTGAGAAGGAAATGTAATATAAAAAATAGAAATAAAAGCATTATCCAATGTGCACACAAAAAACTTCCATAAATGGTACTATGTGTGCAAATTCCAATAAACCTAACTACAGCAATTTTTGATGGGTGAACCAGGGATAAAATTCAATAGTGGACATTCACTAGCATGAGGGCATAGACATACTGTACAGGTATATATTTACACTACAAATGAATATGTGGGTACAAAACCCTTCCTAGTTCGATCCATCCATTGGCTCCCATCTTTACTTCACCTCAGGGAAATAACAAACCATCCAAACTCGCCATAATATTATTTTTAGAGATTAAGATATTGCCAAGGTCTCATTTAAGCCCATTAACCTGGTGCCAGACTGTTCAATTTATAAATCCAGGAACTCTCTCTAGCACACAGTCTCTTAAACTCAATTCCTTCATCTCCAAAAGGAGGGATGACTTCAATACCAAAGGCTCTTAGTCCCTCTGTACAAGCATTATGACAAGGCAGGAAGTGATGATCAGCTTTTTTAATGATGTTACTTTTGTGCTTACCGAATCTGACTCTGAATGTCCTAATAGTTCTAACATATAGTTTGCCACATGGACAAATCAGGCCATAAATAAATGAATTATTCGGTTCCACAATTAATACATTGTTGGATAGGGAACACAAGGCCATGGGCACTACAAAACTCTCTCTTCCTGTGGCACAGACCACAGTTTGGGACACTATACCTGTAGCTACCTTTCTGGCCAAGCAGGCCTTGTCCAGTGTTCTTAGGTATAAGGGAACTAACTTTGCTTGGTGCCAACATGTTCCTGAGAGTCCCATGTTTTTTAGAAGGTCTGGTAATGAACCCTTGAAGAGCAGATCTTCTTTTAGCACCCACCTGTGCTTCAAGACTCTGGATACCTGAAAAGCACTCTAATTATGCTGTGGGCAAAAGGACAAATTATATTGATTTACCTCATTCATTCTCCGAGGTATTTTCTCCTGTCTATGTTTGAGAAAGACTGAGTTAATCATCTCTCACTCATATCCTTTGTCTAAAACATTTTTCTTTACTATCTCACCTTGGGCCTCCATAATCTTCAATCCTGGTACATGTTTTCCTCAGTCTTCCAAACTGTCCCTTGGGGATTTTGCATATCCAGCAGGGATGATGCCCACAGGTGGCATATATGTATGAATTCCCTCCTGTAGGTTGGAAATTAATTTTGGAATGGATATTTCCTTTACCATCAAAACCTAAAATGGGGAGATACTGTCTATTACAGAGGCCATCCCATATTCTAAGGATATAATCTATATACCTCATAGGGCCAGGTTCGTTCCAAATGGGTTGTGTGACCAAATAGTGATTCCCATAAACCCATAAAAAGATTAGCATAAGTGGGGGGTGGGGGGACCTGGCCCCCATGGTGGTGCCCTTATTCTGGATAAATCCTCAATGAAAGCAAAATAATTGTGTGTTTTAAAATAAACTCCATAGCTTTCAGGATAAAGTTTGCCTGCTCAAAGTTGACTGTTATTGTACCTAATTAGATTATATTGAATGGCTTGGAGTCAAACTTGATGTTCTATGAGAGTGTAGAGGGACGAGATATAAATAGGTCTCCTTCCACTCATACCTGGCCAGGATATCTAGGGCATGGCCAGAGTCCGCCCGAATGATGGTAAATCCCACACTGATGGTTGTAAATAGTGGTCTAATGTTACTGCTCCTGGGCTCTGTTAGACAGGTTTTCATTCACTTTCTGTTCAGTGGATAGCTTTTACCAAACAGGATTTCAGGGAAAATCTGCAACAGGCAAACAGAAAAATTAAAAGCTGACAGAGGTCCTAGCATTCCCCTACTTAACTAAAAAATTACTTTTGTTTCTGTTGCACTAGAGAGATATTACCTCTGTGCCCTGGGGACAACATTTTTATCACGTAGGGAGTGAAGGAATCTCTCTAGTGGAGCCTGTAAAGGCAATAAAATTTGACAGCAATCCTTACGCACTCTATCCAAAACGAAAATAGATGCACTTTAAAGGATAAGTGCAATTTAAAACAAAGGCAGACAAGCAGGGAGACGAGCACCATAATAGTCCATGGGGATTTGCTATTCAGGCAAGACGTAGAACGCAGGATGTCAAACAAACAACCAGGGCTGGACCCATTGGAACTTTGTAAGCATCTTTGCACAGCGTGGGAAGGAGTGGTGTCAGCTTAAAGGGGTCTAAAGGAGAAGTGCACTTTGTTGTATAGTCCACTTATCCTTTAAGCTATTTGCCCTTTTGCCTGCATATTGTATGCTGACTTCCAGGTGACTGTATTCTCAGCGAAGATATTTGTATTATTGACAGAAGAGTTCTTATATTTTTTTTAAAGGAATATAACAGAAGGTGTTTTGATACTGTTTTTGTGTTTTGTACACTCTGGTGGATTCTCTGTAGAAATGTATGGGGAGTTAATTTGGGTAATAATAACTCTGGACTAAAGTCAAGCTTTGAAAATGTCCCTATTGGTCTATTACTGTGCTTTGTGGTCTTACTGGCCAATAGGAACATGTGGGAGACAACAGATCAACCTTTAACACTTTCAGGATATTTTCTAAATATCCTACAAAAACCTGAGCTTTGGTGCACACTAATGCTAGAAAGGTCATCTAAAAATATGTGCAAGCACCTCTAGGTTCTTCCCATTTTAGTGCTGCCACTTTATGGTGCTTGACAGTTTTGCTTTAAAGAACAGAGCACCCTGGTCTTGTGGAGTACATCTGACCATTTATCATGAATAACGCATAAATAATACTCACTAACATGGAGTAAGCCTGAATAAATACAACCCAATTCCCAAAAAGTTGGGACGCTGTGTAAAATCTACAAAAATAGGAAACATCAAATGTTTAAACTGAGAAAATGAACCATTTTAAGAGAAAAATATTATAATTTTGAAATGTAATGGCAGCAACACATCTCATAAAAGTTGGGACAGGGCCATGTTCATTACAGTATTGCATCCCCTCTTCTTTGAACAACACTCTGCAAACATCTGGGAGGCCAGTTGCTAAAGTTTTGGGAGAGGAATGTTGCCCCATTCTTGCCTGATATAGGATCCTAATTGCTCAACAGTCCTGGGTCTTATCGTATTTGTTTCAAGATGTACCAAATATGTTCAATTGGTGAAAGGTCTATACTACAGGCAGGCCAGTTAAGCCCCTGGACTTTTACTTCAAAGCTGTTGTCATAGATGCAGTATGCGGTTTAACATTGTCCTGCTGAGATATGCAAGGCCTTCCCTGAAAGAAGTCTTCGGGATGGGAGCATATGCTGCTCTAAAATCTGCATATATCTTTCACCATTGTTGGTGCCTTTCCAGATGTGCAAGCTGCACATTCCATAAGCACTAATGTACCCCCCATACCATCAGAGATGCAGGATTTTGAACTGAGCGCTGATAAGTCAGGAGGTCCCTCTTCTCTTCTCTTTAGTCCGGAGGACATGTCAAACAGAATGTCAAATTTACAGTTCAACACTTTGCAACAGACCATTTTGGATGAGCTTTGGCCTAGAGAAGACAGCAGCGTTTTTGGATCATGTTCAGATATAGTTACATAGTTAGGTTGAAAAAAGACACACATGTCCATCGAGTTCAACCTATAGAGATACGGAGAAAAAAAAGAGAGAAGAAAAGCCTAAACAGAAATCTATGCCCACAGTTACCCCCTGTTGATATAGAGGAAGGCAAAAAAACATATAAAGCATAGTTCAGTTTGCTCCAACAGGGGAAAAAAAATCCTTCCTGATCCCATAAGGCAATTGAATATTCCCTGGATCAACAATCTCTGATGCTTAATATACCTATAAGAACTCAATATCCAGTAATATTCTGCGCATTTAAGAATATATCCAGATGTTTTTTTAAACCATTAACTGAGCTAGCTAGAACTAGCTCCTGGGGGAATCTGTTCCACATTTTCACAGCTCTAACTGTGAAGAATCCTTTCCCTATACAAAGGTTGAACCTCTTTTCCTCCAGACACAAAGAGCTCCCCCTAGTCCTTTGCATTGTCCTGACCTTTTAAAGTGAATCATTTTGGCACCAAACTCACTATATGGCTTCTTCTTTGCATGATAGAGCGTTAACTTGCATTTTTGGATGGCATGGAAAACTGTGTTCACAGTGATATTTTTTTTTATTCCTCTATTCCTGAGCCCATGCAGTGATCTCCATCACGGAATCATGAAGATCACAGGCATTCAATATTGCGTTTTGATATTATGTGCTGTAGATGATGATATATTTAAAGTCTTTGCAATTTTACATTGAACATTATTCTGAAATTTGTTATATTTTTAGAAACAGCTTTTCATAGATTGTTGAACCTCTGCCCATCTTTACTTTTGAGACACACTTACTCTAAGATTTATATCTATAGATCTATAGATATAGATATATATATATATATATATATATATCATGTTATATATATCGTGTTACTGACCTGTTGCCAATTAACATAATTGGTTGCAAAATGTTCTTGCAGCTCTTCCTTGTTAGAACCACTTATTTTTCCAGCTTTTTGTTGCCCTGTCCCAACTTTTTCAGATGTGTTGCTGCCATTAATTTCAAAATTAGCTTATTTTTGTCTTAAAATGGCACATTTCCTCAGTTTAAACATTTGATATGTTTTCTCTTTTCTATTGTGAATGAAATATTGGTTTATGAGATCATTGCATTCTGTTTTTATTTAGATTTTACACAGTATCCAAACTTTTTTGGAATTGGGGTTGAACATAAAAAACAAATCTCTAGCTTTCACAAGCATTCATGAACAACGATCCTGTATTGGCTGATGCATTTTTGGGGCCATGTCCCCATTCATCAGATCCCTGATGAAAGTGGGCAGAGCCCAGAAACCTATTGGCCATTGTTTGTGTGCCAAACTTTTTTGTGTTTTTAAAAGAGAACTATGACAAAACCTTTTTGGCGTGGGTTCTCTTTTGGGTCACCAGAGGACATTTACTGATCTCCTCCTGTGACCCAAAACTTAGTAATTGCGGGCTATTGCCTGCAATATGCTGACAGCTCAAGGCCTCACTGCAGCTGGGAAAGACCCAGATAATATTAACCCCACTACCTGCTTGACAGCTAGCTCTTCCTCGTTAGAGCCAGAGCCAACTGTGCCCTCCCCTGTCTGTGTCCCTCCCCTGTCTGTGAGGAACCGAGAGGGGAGGGGGGAATCCGCTCTGTTCATGATCTCCTCCCTGCAGAGATCATTGGTGCGTGATCTCTCAGCTATAGAGCCGGCATGTGACATCTGCAGTGTCACATGCTGGCTTTAACTATGGAGATGAGTGCATTGCACTCTCCCCATAGTTCTTTAACTTTAGGCAAGCTGCTGAATTTTCATTTGATCTTGTTCAAAACTACAACAACTGTCCCAAATATCCTCCAAACTTTAATTATCTGCACATAAATAGCCATATGGTATGGGTGTAGGGTGTAGGAATTGGTTAGCAAAATACATCAATGACGGAACAGTTTTAAAAGTTTCTCATCTGTGGCAATGACCTACCTAATGATTCTGCGTGAAGTATATGCATTTTATCTTGTTTACAACTACCAGAAAAATGGCAGACTTGTGAAAGTATTTTGAAATAATAACTCATTTAATGTAGCTTGTCCTTCAATTAAGGCAGTAAATTATTAACAAAGACATTCCTGACATTACGCTGACAATTTACACTCATCCTTACTCATTTCTTACTCATGTTCTTTTCTCCATTTGCAAGTTAAGAAGCTGAGAGCGCTAAGAAGCTGTGGAAATGAGCCTTGCTCTGCTCTTTAAATCAATACAGGATAGCCAATTGTTATATTGTATGTGTGCTGTTATCACTGCTAAATGATATTTAACTGTAGCTTATCTTTATTGAGGTCATGGTATTTCAAATATTACCTAAGCAATACATTTGCTCTGCCTTGCCATTTTGTGTCTCTTAGCTATTTTTAATAGGGGATCACTGTTCGGTACAAAATAAGACTGGCTCAGCACGCACTGAATTTCTTATGCAATTTATATTCTTGACTCTGCTCTCGGCTTCTTTGATAATTGATTGTCTTGCTGATTGCTGCTGACCTAGACCCTTAGGTGCTTAAAATGTATCCCACATTGACAGTAAGTAATCATTTCAATGGCAGTGTGTTAATTTATTAGCTTAATTTAAGGGAACCTACCATGATCGCAGGGACCCCCAACTCTGACACAGTAGACTTCCAACGTCCAACTCTCCGGGTAGGTACATTTCTGCTTGTGTTGCTGCGCAGAAATTCTCTGCAGTTTTACTGCTTCAGGGAGGTTCCTCTAGTGCTTGATATGAGCCTGACTCGGCTGTGTCTGATAGCAGCAATCGCAACAGGCTAGCTTTACCTAGGATATTTGTTTCTAATATTTTGAATGTATGAAACACATGAACAACCATATTAAGACTTTGTTTCTACCATAATTATTAAGTGCCAGTCTTTTAACTGATTTTTTACTGTGGAGCATAACAGAAATGTTAGGCTTACACCAGTTAGGTCTGTCATCCCTTTTTTGCTGCTGACCAATTGTACATTGTTTTATCCTCTGTAGTTTCTTAATTTTTGTAATAAAGCACCAGCCTATGATTTTTGTCGTTAGTAAATTTGGGCCTAGCCTTGCCATTTATAACTGCCCTGCTGCTGGCCAATTTCACACCACTGTATTATATGCAGTCTCTTTATTCTTGTAGTAAAACACCTGCCTGTCTCTAGTACATTTGACCGATTCTACTTAATTAAAATAGTCCTGCTGCTGGCCATTTTTACATTGCTGTATCATCTGCAGCCTCTTAATGAAAGCAATTGTCCAGCGGCAGGATAGTTTTGCAACAGTGAGAGCCCCTGTTCTGGCGAATTCCTAGCTGCAGGTCTTTTACGGTTTGATGCAAAGAATGTGTTGATGCTAAAGCTACCTAAAAAAATTAATCTATTTTTTCAAATGAAATGAATCGGAGTGCAGTGCTGTAAGCCAAACTAATTGTAAAAGAATAAAAAGCCAATTAAGCACTGCCAGTGTGTGCAGTCTTTGAGACTGCCTGTGAAAATCAAACTGTTCAGTAACACCACATACAGCTTTAAGACTTCCCTCAAGCATGTTATTTAAAGGAATGGTGTATTTTTTAATCCCCCCAAAGGCACATAAAACGCTGTTCTAAGGTATTTAAAGGAAAATATATTTTGCATTAGTACATGTGCCCCATGGTAGTGCCCAGCTTCCCATGCCTTTTTTGGCAGTAGTTTACCTATTAGCCCTAAAAATGGCCAGAATTGAAAAACAAGTTTCCCCCACAATAGAATTTATTGCAGTTCACCTCTTAGTTCTTGTTTGCTGAATCTCAAATAATATTAAGCAAACACTGGATGAATCAAACCCAAACATACCATCACTATTTAGCACAATATCTTGAAATTTTACTCGAGCCATTTTTTTCCTAATTTTGGATAAAGTGGGGAACAGTCAGGTTTTTTTTAATTCTGTCTGAGCTCTCATTAGGAAAGATTCAGATTCACTACAATAAAGTAATACGTGGTCATCACAAGGACAAGAAAAAACAGATGGCAATAAAAAAAAATGTCAGACATTCTAACCCTCCTCCTCTCTACTAAATATGTGTTTTTTGTTTCATCTGTATCCCCATTGGAGAGATTTCCTATCACTTCCTGAATAGTTTGGTGGTTTACTTGGTACAAAATAATTTGTAAGCACACAGCTGGTAAATTAATGAAAGTAGTAGCCATGGTATGGACTTATGACCTTAAAAGAAATCTGTAGTGTGATTATATGCAGGCTGCCTTTGCTAAATCCATCTTCTGAAAATTCTAGTTGTCTTTCATGTTGTTCCAATGCCATCAACACTTTTTGAGGCACTGACTTGGAACAAGAATGTAAATCTGGAGTTCTAACTTCGCTTCAACTTTCTATTTTGCATACATGTACCAGGTCTGTAACTCGTAAATTATTGAGGTTGGGGACATCCAAGCAACTAGCATTTATTTTAATGAGGTCAGCAAGTGCAGTTACTGTATTTCTCTTTCCTTCAAGAATTTAAAAGTCCAACTCAAGTTTAAAATATTAAAATTACAGTTGTTGAGTAAAAATGTAACTTTTACTTCAATGTCTGCCTA